TGAAGTGTTATTGCAACCGTGACCTAAGGAGAGCAGACACATGTGATTTGAGAAAAAACACAAGCAAGATGAGAGGCTAAATAAAAGTAAAGTTTATGGACAAGCAAAACTATATAAAGCATGTACATAGGCTGAGGAGACAAATGAAATCAAGATAAAAAGATCTTAAAGAGAAAACTCTTTAAAAATTTGCTGCATAGTGGATCATAAATAATAAAAATGGCAAAAGAAGCATTATTCCAGAGCTTACAGTTTGAAAAGAAAAACATAAAGAGACCAAACAGTGACTCAGAGGATGGGGCTTTGCACATATTTGACATTAATGAAATGCAAGTTGGAATAAATAGTTTGTAAAGCTCAGATTAGCATTAAAAGTGAACTCAAGTACACAAACAAAGAGGAAATTAAATGCAAGATAGTGGGATAATGATAAATGTGCCAGGCATCCATTTAGCAAGAAATGGAAAAAAACCCATGTAATCAAGCAAAGCCAAATGAAAATTACACTGTGGAATGATGATAATAGCCTCAAGACATTGTGAATTCTAATCAGGATGCAAAAGACATCCTGAGTATACAGGCTGAATCTTTAGAATATGCAACATAAAAGCCAATGCTTGCTGCTGAAACAGGGAGTCTACATATGCGACAAAAAACCATAAATCTTGAGTCCAAGCTGATGGATATATTTGAAGAAAATGGGATTTCTCCTGACATGTTATATCTAGAACAGACAAAAGTAATTCAAGCAGTACAGCACCTGCTTTACACACTATCTATTCCATTAGAATAAGCAATAGTTTGAACACTGAAATACACATAAAAATAAATAATTTTACATAATCTCAAAATTACATAAGCGGCACAATAGTCTCTGAAAAAAAGTTAGATACTGACAAGGCTTATTCAGCCCTCCTGCATAAATAAAAATAGTCATTATATTTTGGAAGCCAGCAGGTAGGCTTGGGTGTTGAGAATGCTGTTAGTAGTGAACCTTGTAGCTGACGAGTATCAGGTCTGCCATCCAGGCTCACAAATCAGTATCAGAGCTGATGATACTCAGGAATGTGATATGAGGAATTCCTGGCAGAAAGTGTGGTAATCCATTACAATTAACCCCATCTCATTAGCAGATAATACAAACAAACATACAAAAAGGAAGTTGGTTTTGATTGTGGTATCACATACAGCTAGTTGCTGACTTCCCAGAGAAACCCAATAATTTTGGGAAGGTAGGTAGGTTAGCTTGTAATATGCTAACCTTTAAAGGTATTAAGAGAGTATTAAAAACCACAGAGTATCTTACCACATCTGTTTTCAACCTTAGACATGTGTAAAGCATTGAGACCATAACAGAGGAAGAGGCAACACAAACATGGTATACATGCAGTATTGGTGACCTTACAAGCTGATCCAGTGAGGTGAGATTTGGAGCCCTGTTGCTGTAAAAGAAACCACTAGTAGTTTTTTGCCTCACCGGTGAAACGAATACATCAGCAAGCACTGTTTTGCAATAATGTTTCCATAGGGTAAAGGTCAACTATTTGAGAAAAAAAATTCTCAAACAAAAATCCTAGGAGCTACTGAAGAATTTTAAAAGTCATTGCTATTCCCAAATATGAGCAACATATGATAATGAAATGGTAACATTTGAATTTATTTAATGAATTTGAGAAGGACCAGTGAATACAGCAGGTTTTACCAGAAAACCAAGGTGATTAAATCATAACATGAGAACCTTAATGTTATCACAGAAGTGCAAAACTAAAGAAAAACAAAGTTCCACTCAAACAATAAAAGTATATGCTAGTTTCAAGAGGATGTTGGGAAAAAAAATGAGAATAAAACGCACAAGATAAAGATGTGCTTACGTCCACCATTCTGTCAAAAAGGTCAAAGACCAGAGAAGTGGTTCTATGTACTTCCCAGGAATGACTGAACTGTCAAAGCAAATGGAACATAAAAATATTATATTCAAGCTACTGAATCATCATACCCAGAATGCTGAGAATAGAAATTCTCCTGAGAATGGGGTCAGTCTGGAATAGAAACAAACACCATGTACTAACCAGATGGGACAGAGCATGAGTAATCATGATATCTGAGAGAAAAGCTAGGACATGTGGCAAAATAGAACTCTATAGCATTTTCAACAGGCAATAGAGCAGACTGAAGAACAGATCTTACAAAATATGGAAACACACCTTAAAATTATGGGCTACTGGTCAGACCTTTAGGAACCAGGCAAAATGTCAGAGGCTTACGTAGTATCCATTGAGGGTAGAGCAGTGAAGTGTTTAAGCATGCCTGAACTATGTGATTACAATCACGAGATCTGAGTTTACCTTAAATTAGATCATACATTTATTTGAGAGCAAGAATTTGATTACATCTGACTGTCCTGTATAATAGCCAGGCAAATAGCAAGGCCAAGTTTGCTGTACGGATTGCTAGGAGTATTGAAATGGTACAAACAGCAGAGAGAATATTTTGCATTCCGTTCTTGAATGTTGAAAATATTCCCACAGAAAAGTTCACTGCAGTTGAGTACAGTGTTTGAAATCATGTTCGGTAACAGAATAAAGGAGTAACAGACTGAAACAGGAAGAAAAGAGTCTTATAAATACAGCCCTGATCTGTATTTGTATTTAGATTATTTCTGCAAGCAACTGACATGCTTGAAGAGAGAATTCCCCATGCTTACACCAAATCAAAGGGACAATTCCCCATCTGGAGTATACTGAAATTGTGCATCCAGATGGTAAGAAACATAGAGACATGTAATGAAATGTGTATCAACAATAAAGAAGTGCCATAGTTCCTAACTGAGAGGGGTGGGAAAAAAAAGGGTTATAAGTTAACATGTCTCCCTATGCCTGCCCTTAATTATACTGAATTTTTTTTTATCATGGAGATACTTAATTTGAAAAGCTATAAATGTCTCGTTTGATTGTTACTAAACATTTGTTTAAGTGTGTGTCTCTCTCTGTAATGCTATTGCCACTATTACATGAAGATTTCAACAGACTTTATTGTTATTAAAGTTCATACAATCTTACTCCTCCAAAATGGGATATTTACCGCATTTGCATAAACCCAACCCCTAACCTGGACTCATTTAACACAAAGCTCTCACAGGATAAACCACTAGAAATATGGAAGCAAAGACAGTGCCTTGATAGTTATTGTGGCTTAGTTTGTCTTCTTGGACAGGGACAATGAAACTGACTTTTCTAAGATCTGGCGTTGAACTATTGCCAGGACTCGTGTGCAACTGAGCTAATATTCTATTCCTTCTTCTTTATATTAGTCACCCCTATCAGAGCCAAAGATAAAACACACATTTTTCTAAAACCTAAATAAATCCCTCTTCAAAGCATACTTTTCTTGCACATATTAAAAGAAACTAAGTGATGTCTACTTACGCATTCAGTTTATTTATATCTAGTCAACTACTCACGTAAAGAAATAGAAAAATTACTTTGTTTGTGCAGCTTCAAAGCTGTAGCTTCATTGATAATTACAGGTCAACTCTGCAATTACTGAAAACTTATGCTGTAAAATGGGGTAGAGCCCCAACTTTCTCAGCCTGTTGTCATAGGGGAGGTGCTCTAGTCCTCTTGTCAACTTCGTGGCCCCCCTCTGGACCTACACCAACAGTTCCATGCCCGTCTTATGTTGGGGACACCAGAACAGTATGCAGTATTCCAGGTGGGGTCTCACAAGAGAAGAGCAGAGATGCAGAATCACCTCCCTTGCCCTCCTGGCCATGCTACTTTTGATGCAGCCCAGGATACTGTTGGCTTTATGGGCTGTGAGTGCACACTGCCAGCTAAATTTTCCATTTTCATCAACAGGGAGGGTTTGGTTTTGATTTTTTCCCCCCCTTTTTCAGTATTAGAGAGAGGGTTTGGGTTTCTTCCCCCCTTTTTCAGTATTAGAGGGGTTTAAATTCATAATGAAATCTTTCTGACAGCGGGAGTAAAAAACCTGACCATCTGTTTTCATACAGCGTAAAAGAAACATTGACTCCTTCCTGTAAGTATACTACTTCTTTTATCAAATTTGGTTGATATGGGTCAATGGGTTCAAACCTGTTAAGAGGTCAAAATAAAGGTGGGACAACGGGCAAAACAGAATACTTTACAGCTTGCTCTAGGACAGACCAAATGTTGTTAAATGTTCTGTTAGAATTATAGAATGGTTTGGGTTGGGAAGGAGCCTTAAAAATCATTTAGTTGCAACCGCCCAGCCAAGGGCAGGGACACCTGCCACTAGACCAGGTTGCTCCAAGTCCCATCCATCACGGCCTTGAGCACTCCCAGGGATGGGGCATCCATAGCTTCTCTGATCAACCTGTTCCAGTTCCTCACCACCCTCACAGTGAAGAATTTCCTCCTAATATCTAATCTAAACCTACTTTTTTTTTCAGTTTGAAGCCTTTTCCCCTTGTCCTGTCAGTACAGTTACTGATGTTGCCCATGAGAAAAGGACACTTGACTTTTTCAAGGGCCTTACAAAACCAAAAGCAGACAACCAACCAACGAAACAAAAGAAAACCAGACCACCCTGAGATGGAAAATAAAGTGAAAACCCACTTGACTGCTAAAAATAGAAGATGCTTGTTTCAAGGGCTAAATTTTGACATTTGTGGCCCTCAGTTAGGCACTTACAGAGCGCCACAGCAGGGCTGACGACGCTACCTGCTGATCTGACTATGGAGGTTTAATAGAGGAGCCCCAGCGACCCAGAGTGGAAGCGGCGGGCGGAGCACTCCCGAGGGCCACACCAGCCCCAGGAGCCCCTCACCCCAACATCCGGGAGCTCCCCCCCGGGCTCGGCCCGGTGGTCCCGCCCTGACGTAGGCGCCTCCTGGCCCAATGGCGGCTCCGCTCTGCTTCCGGCGTCCGGCCCCGTCTCCTGGATACGGTCGCGGGGTGGCGACCATCCGAGAGGCGCGCGGGGGGGGGGCGGGTACGCGCCCCGGTGGGACCCATCGGCGCGTTCCTGCTAGAATAAGGGGAAACAAATCCCCGCAGTTCCCGGAGTCACCCTGCCTGCTGTGCCGGTGCCCCGCCCGCTGGGTTTATTTCGTGGCGCGCAGGGACGGGCGTCCCGCCGGGACACTGCCACCGGGGCATGGGAGACGCCGTGCCGGGGGCGGGGCTCCGCCGGTTCGGTTGATGGCGGCGGCGCGGCGATGATGCTGCCGCCGGGTCCATCCTGCGCCGCATAAGTACGGCGGTCGCTCCCTCCCTTTCCCGCCGGGTCCATCCCTCGCCGCACAGGTACGGCTGTCGCTCCCCTTTCCCGCTTTTCTTCTTTCCCGCTTTCCCGCGCGCGGGTCGCGGCCGTTACCTGGAGGGGGGCGCGCGCCCAACGGCCCCGCCCCTCACCGTCCTCTCGCTCCCCTCGCCGAGCTTCGGCCCGAGGGTGGGGTCGAACCGGGCGGGGCTGGTGTCCCCCGGCTGAAGGACTCCTTGTGTCACTTTATTTGATCTCTTTGTACTTTATGACAAAACCGGTAAACGAATTCCAGCTCTCTAAAATATGTTATGCGTGTTAGAGAAGTTGCGGGTGCCCCGTCCCTGGCAGTGTTCAAGGCCAGGCTGGATGGGGTTCTGAGCAACCTGGTCTAGTGGGAGGTGTCCCTGCCCATGGGGAGGGGTTGGAACTAGGTAATCTTTAAGGTTCCTTCCAACCCAAGCCATTCTATGATCTTATCATTCCATGCTCCATTGATTTGTGTACTGAAATTGTGGTGTAGCCATTACTCTTGAGATTCAGGGATGCAAGAGCAAATGCTTCTCTCTTCCCTGTTACCTCTTGCAGAGCAGCTAAAGGAGAACTTATTTGCAAGTATTGCCAGTCATGAGGTGGCAAGGAAAGCTTCCCTTTCCCGTGTGTGAAGAAAGATTATGCACAGATACCCCCAAATGCCAGACAGGATTGTAGGAAAATTTATTTCCTAAGTCGATAACACTAGACTTAAAGAACATTAACCTTTTCGGCATTTCAAACACCGGGCCTGGGGGAAGACACGCCCCTCTGTTCTTCTCAGGGCTTTTATCATCCCTGCCCCCGCTCCCCACTCTGGGGACCTTCAAAGATGTCTGCAAAGACTTATTTTTTTCTCATACCAGGGAGAGGAGAAAACATCTAAAACTGTCTCTGGAAGAGATGCCTCTTCCAGACAGGAAAGTCTTCCTGAGTGAAATAAGCCCTGATCTCTTTGTAATAAATCTTACACTGTTACACCATGACCATGTGCCTTTATGTGTCATTGGTCTTGCTTTTGTCAGATAACCAGATATTTCTGTACTTGTCCTTGAGCCTGTCATGCACTGGTGTGGTTTGTTGCCTGAGAGGATGATAATGCCTTTCATATGACCGACAATGAAGATATCTTCCATCCATCTAACGTATATGTGCTGTTCAGTCTTGTGACAAGGTGCACATGTCAGGTTTGAAGTATTCATGGAAAGAAGAAGAGCAAGGAAGGGGCTTTGGTCATCATGATCCTCAGCTTCCTTATGAGGGGAAGTGGAGAGGCAGGCACTGATCTCTTCTCTGATCTTTCTGGAAATATATAATCCCTATTTTTGAGTATTGGGAGGGAGATACTGTACATCAATGACTATTAAATTTGAATGCTTCCCCCTTCTCCTCCTTTCTATAAAGGATTATTTGTTTGTTGAGACTAATACCATGTTTTCACTCTCTTGCCTGTAAAGCATCCTAAAGTATGGAGAACTTCATTCTATATGAGGAGATTGGAAGAGGAAATAAGACAGTTGTTTATAAAGGAAGAAGAAAGGGGACAATTAATTTTGTTGCCATTCTTTGCACTGATAAATGCAAAAGAGCTGAAATAACAAACTGGGTAAGTAATGGGGTTTTTCCTGCTAAATCTGGGAAAAGATACAGCCTACCAAAACCTTGTAGCACAGGTATTATGAAAGAAAAATACCATATGCTTCTTTAGATGGAGTTTGTCATCATTCAGATGACCTTCTTAAGATTTTAAATTCTTATACTTTAAATAGAGTCTTATTTTAATGTATTTATTTCTTAATCTGATTTTATTGTTTTCTAGATCACAAACTTAAGCCCATGTTTACAGTCTTACTGTTTTTGTGATGTGTCAGAGAACTTGTAACAATAGCTACTTGCATTTAGCGGTTTGCTTTACTTTACCACTAGTTGTGCAAGTCCAGTGGCAGTAGTACCTTCCAGTAAATAATCAAGTTCTTACTTAGCAAGAAGAAATTATTTTTGACGAAAGAAGGCCGTTTAAGATAATTCAATCCTGGTCCGTAAAACCTTGGCACAGTTTTAAACATCTGATACTTTCTGCAAAAGAAACTGTAACTGATACAGTTACACAGTTCAAATATTCTATTTTTCCAGTAGATAGGTTTTGTTTCTGTAAGGGGTTAACCTTGGCTGGATACCAGGTTCCCACCAAAGCCACTCTATCACTCCCTTCCTCAACTGGACAGGGGAGAGAAAATATAATGAAAGGCTTATGGGTTGAGGTAAGTGTAGAGAGAGATCACTCACTAGTTACCCTCACAGGGAAAACAGACTTGGTTTCGGGACATTAATTGAATTTGTTGCCAGAGAAGGATAACGAGAAATAAAACCAAATTCTTAAAACAACTTCCCCCCACCTCTCCCTCTTCCTGGGCTCAACTTTACTCCCAATTTTCTCTCCCTCCTCCCCTGCCAGTGACACAGGAAGATGAGGATGAAGGTTACAGTCAGTTCATCACATGCTGTCTTTGTTGCTCCTTCCTCCTAAAGCTCTTCCCCTGCTCCACCATGGGGGCCCTCCCATGGGAGACAGTCCCCCACAACCCTCTTCAATGTTGATCCTTCCCACAGGCTGCAGTTCTTCATGTACTGCTCCAACATGGGTCCCTTCTGTGGTGTACAGGCCCTCAGGAACAGGCTGTTCTAGTGTGGGTCCCTGCAGGGTCACAAGTCCTGCCAGCAAATCATCTGCTACAGCGTGGGCACCTTTTTCCATGGGTCTGCAGGTCCTACCAGGAGCCTTCTCCAGCATAGGCTTCTCATGGGGTCACAGCCTTCCTCAGGCATTCACCTGCTCTGGTGTGGGATCCTCCACAGGCAGATCTCTGTTCCCCTATGGACCTCCACAGGCTGCAGGGGGACAGCTGCCTCACCATGGTCTTCACCGTGGGCTGCAGGGGAAACCCTACTCCAGCTCCTGCCCCTCCTTCTCCACTAACCTTGATGTCTGTAGTGTTATTTCTGTCACACGTTCTCACTCCCCTCTCTGCTGCTGTTCTGCAGCAGTGTTTTCCCCCCTTTCTAAATGTTATCACAGCAGCACTATGGCCATCGCTGATGAGCTTGGCCTCGGCCAGTGGTGGGTCTGTCTTGGAGCCAGCTGGCATTGGATTAGTCAGACATAGGGAGAGTACTGGCAGCTTCACAGAGAAGCCACCCCTGTAGCCCCCCCTTACCAAAACCTTGCCATTCAAACCCAATACAGTTTTATATTCCCTCTCATTGTTTCAGTGATCATTTCTTCGGAACTTGTTGTTCCTAGAAGCGTTATTAGTCTTACAAAACCATCGAGGGTACCTTACATACCAGTCAAGCAAAAAAACAGGCTTCTGTAGAGATTAGGCCATGAATGGTATAATAGAAATATAGATCTCCAGGGACTCTGGAATGACTGTTCTTGCCTGATAAGATTAAGAATGATGGAAAATTTTCTTTTTTCTTCCTCTCGTTGTATTGTCTCTCATTTATATTCTTCTTGAAAAAAAAAAAAACCAGGAGTGCAAGTTTGACTCCAGTTTCTGATTTCCAGTTTGTTATTGTTTTAGTGATGCAGGAAGGTTAAATAATATTTATAATTTTGGGTTGGGGAAGTTCCTAATTTTTTTTCTATAAACAGGTGAGTTGGGCAGGATCTGTGAGGAAAGCTATCTTTTCTCAACATACATGTAAAGCTAAAATATTTGAATAATAATATTAGTGCACTGGAAAAGGCAAGAGAACAAGTATTTCATCTAGGGTAAAGGTGTATTGTTTCTTGCTGCCCTGCCATAAGTCCATATAAACATGTATATATTTATTCCCCCCCCTCCAGTTAAGTATGTTGAAAACTTTGTTCTAGGTTCGTCTGACTCATGAAATCAGACACAAGAATATAGTGACATTTCATGAATGGTATGAAACAAGCAACCATCTCTGGCTTGTAGTGGAACTATGCACAGGTAAGATAAGCTCAAAAAGTAAAAATTTAAAAATGAGTGTTTGTAAGAGATTTCATCTGGCAGTTTCTCTACAACAAATCTTTGAAAAAAGCATGATTATCTGATTATTAGCTTGAGAACCCTGTTTATATATAAAAATGGTTTTGCTCTTGGAAACATTTTTAGAAATCAACTGAAATAATTTCTCCTCTCCTTCACTGTATGTGTCTGTTAAATGTTAGTTGATGTGGCATAATGTTGGTTTTTAAGAGCTGAAGAGATATGGCTAATCAGGGGAACATAAAAACAAATTATGGATAGTGGGAGGGTAGTTAAGTAATAACTTGAAAAGTTTTCTGAGTACTGGCAGCTTTGGCATTCTCTTTTAAAAGACAGCAAGGAGCAAATTAAGCTATAATGTATAAACGAAAATGTTGTTCAAGTTAATTTTTAATAAAAGGACAATTTAGCAGTTAAAGTAAATTATTTAAATTTTCTTCCTATTCTGTGCAAGTATTTTGACTTCCATGTTAAAATGTTAATTGGGGAGCTCTGAGAACCCAAAACTGCATTAAGTGATTCACCGAGTTTTGATAGGTTCTTATCAATCTATTAAAGAAATCTTTTAAAGCTTTCTCTAATTCTAATGACTGCATATTTTAAACTCCCGACAGTGTTCTTTACTCCACATGGAGAGAAAAGAAAGCCAATAGGCAAGTGATGCATGTTAAGATTTTGGCATCTGAAGTTTGTTTAGTAGTAAAAGCCCTCATTACACACAGCCTTTTTATCTATCCAGAATTCAGTTTGAAAAATTCCTGAAGAAGAGAACCTACAAGTTCTGGGAAAAAAAGTCGGGTCATTCTTTCAGTGATTAAAAGTGAAGTTAATGACCCATAAGGAAGCTTTGATCTCTGTGCTTAGTCCAACTTAGGGGCACATATTTAAGTTATTAGACAGGCAGACTTATTATTGAAGAATTATCAAGTGTTTTGCCTTGCAATATTGCAGTTTGCTGCAAGGAGAGTGTCTTGAAGCTAACTTATTTATACATAAAGTATGACATTGATTTCTTATTAATTTTGCTGAGATTGAAAGTTGCTTTTGAAATATGTAAGATCTCTCTCCTTTGTCTCAAGCTGACAAAGTGAGTTTCTGTTATCAGACACAGAATCCTTCTGTGTTGCCAGTTCTACTTTTTTTTTTCCTTTGTGTATTTGGCCATATTATGGAATTTTTCTGTATGGAGTCCTCTAAATTACATTATAAGAAACAGTTATTAAGCATGTTTGAAAATTCTTTACTATAGCTATGTAATATGGGTGTTTTTAAAGGAATGACTGATTTACTAACCAACCTAAAAAGGCTTAGAAATGAAATAATTTTAAGATTCAGAAGTGTTGAATAATTTGAAGAATTCTGTAATGACGGACCTGTTAGTCTTTGTATTTTCTGAAACAAATAACTGATCAAAGGGAAAAAAGTACAGGAAAATCTATTATGTAATTTGGAATAAAAGATCTAGTATCCATTTCTATGAAAAAGTTTTCTAGTCCCTGTTTAATTCAGGAACTTAAATTTGTGTTTTGTTTTGTTTTAATCTGCATGATTTGTATAAGATATAAATAACAGGCAACCCAGAAAACCAACAGATAATTTAGGAAATGCAAACTGTAAACTGTGGTCTCAGGAGAACAGATTTGGTGCAGGATTAGTAAGGAAACAAATGAGGCTGAGAAAAGGGATTTTAGGGGAGATGTTTTGTGGAATTTAGGATAGAAAACTGGGACAGGAAGGAAGAGAAAGACTGAGCAGTGAGCTTATGGGAAATTAGAAGTCATCCAAGTCCTATGAACAGTTAGGATGGGAATGACTCAAATTGACTGAGTCTGATGACATACCTGAGAATCCGTGGAATGTGAGGAAGCAGGTGATGGGAAAGAAGAAAGATTTTTGCAAGGACACTGAAAGAAACAGGAACAATCAGTGGGGAAAAGCAAGGACTGTGAAGACCAGTGAAGGACACAGATGCTGGAGGATATGTGTGAGGGTTATTTGGAAAGTTTTGTAAGTGTAATCTTATCAGAAAACAAAGGAAGGGCTGGTCAGAACTTAATGGAGGAGGACAGTAGTGATTTTGGAAGGACAGAGAAGTCATGTTAGGATAAGAAATCCATGCAAGTTTTTTCTGGGCAGTTACTGCTTATTCTTAGAGGGATGTACAGGGCAGACAGCTGGGATTTGTGTGAGAAACTTGGAAAACAAAATTTTAGTCCTGGATATTTTTTTGATTCTTTTCTCTAAAACAAAAGAAAAAAAAGAAAAGCAAAAAAAAAAAAGAAAAAGCGGGGAAAGGATTAAAATGAAAGAACTGAGGCACATGAGTCAAGAGACCTCACTGTGTAGAAACACTGTATGTGAAGAAGAAACAAAATAAGTTATCTGTTGGATGTTATTGACCTTGGGACCTCAAACTGTAACAGTTTTACTATTTCAGTTGTCTCTGAATTCAGGGGAAAATTGTCTGCCATTATCTTTAGCAATTGTTCACAGAGGTTGATAGCCTGCTTTTGGTATTATTTATTCTTTTAACTTAGGCAGCGGGAATCTGGTTAAGGAATTTGAATAAATGTATTTGGTTTACATATAAACAAATTACATTGTGAAGTGACACAGTTCCTGAATTTCTTTTTTCCACTTCTGATTCCTTTGTAAAACAAATCAAGTAATTTTGAAGTCATGCACTCAATTTAATTTCATTCAAAATTAAGATTTTTGTCACAGTATTGAAAATAGATTTTTTTCTGTACATCTTAGATTTTAGAACTAGTAGATAATATCAAGAAATATTTTAAATATCTACTAATAATGGCTTTTGACTGACATCTTTTGAAGAAGCTTATGTAATGTCCTTGGGAATTACTTGTATGACATCTTCTTTCTATGCACTTACTATGTGTAAACATGTTTCAGGTGGTTCTCTAGAATCTGTCATTGCTCAAGATGAACATCTACCTGAAGATGTAGTGAGAGAATTTGGTGTTGAATTGATTACTGGTTTATACCATATTCACGGGCTTGGAATTATCTTTTGTGAATTAACGCCTGGAAAGGTAAGGAAGAGTATTATCTGTAGGGAACACTGCATGTTACTTTGCATGCCATCAGCATTTGTTTTATTATTTGTGTTCTACTGTTTGGAAGAGGTTTACCCCAGACTGGAGGCCAGTTGAGATTTATAATATATGTGAAGACAATCAGAGACAAGTCTATAGCTTAAATATTTTATGATCTAATTGATTCTTTCCCTATTGTATATCTGATACAATGTGATAGATTCTTTTTGATTTGTTGTACTGGTTTAATTTAATGAAGGATTTTAGTTCTCTGTCACTGGACATAGAATAAATTCATTATTTTTCTATCATGCTGCAGAATATTTTGCAGTCATAGAAAATGCTAATAGGGGACTAGAGTTAATTAAACTGTCTTTGTTAATAACTTTCTCTATTGTTTCCAGATGCCATGTAAATTATCATCTTATTCTTGCATAAAAATATGAATCTTTATGTATTTTCTCATTTTGTGTATGTGTGTGTAATTTATGCAGAGGTTTGCCAAAGTCCATGTTTAATTCATGTAGTCACCAGAATATGACTATAAGCAAATATTCTTGCATAACAGTAATTGTTTTTGATCTTGATCTAGTAGTGATCAAGTTGCCCTTCTTCTGTGAATTCTTCCACAATTCTACTCAGTTCATGTCATTTATGGGTCCAAAAGAACTAAAAAAATATGAATAAAACATAATGGAGATGTCTCTGTAGTCTTCCAAAGAAAAATGTTGCTGTAAAGTACTCCTTTGAACAGAAAGTAGAGTGCTAAAGTTAAGATTGCTTCCATGCCCCGCTCCCTGCTTCTGATTGAATGGGCTATTTCTCCAAACAAAGTTTTTGGGATTATGAAGTTTTTAGTTACAAGAATAAGTAATGGCTGCCCAGAGAAAACTCTCATCATCATTGGACTAAATCTGTGGAATTTTCTGCCAGATAAAATTAGAAAAATTCACTTTTTTTCCCTCAAAGGAAGCCATGTTTGATTTCACTCCACTTTTATTTTCTTATACAGTTTTACTCTACTTTTACTTTCTTTTCTCTAGTAACATAATTGTTTATTTAGATTTAATAATAAGTAAACGAAAGTGCACATTGAAACTCTTAAGGGTTCTATTGTGATAGTTTTGGTTGTAAGAAAAAAGTCAGTTATTTGCATTACTTAAAAAAAAAGCTTTTCAGTGTTTTTTATTATAGTGATCATCTCTATGTACTTAAATGGTTTCAGATTGTGATTTTTTTAATAAATTATTTTATACTTTGTGTTGGAAATTTCAACAATCGTCAGTTTTAGTATATCGTACTAGTATGTTGGATTTTGTTTATTCTTCTAGATTCTGCTGGAAGGGTCTGGCACTTTGAAATTCAGTAGTTTTTGCTTGGCTAAAGTGGATGGTGAAAACTTGGAAGAATTTTATGCTTTAGTTGGAAATGAAGAAGGTGAAGATGTTAGTGAAAGTACTCCACAAGGATACTTGAAAAACAGATTTCGAGGTACAATATTTTTACTAGCCAAAATTAACCTTTACCAAAGAGACAAAATGAAAGTTGGAAAAAAACTTAGTTTGAAGTAGTTTGGAGAGAAGACCTTGAAATACAATAGTTGTTTAGCATTTTGGTGGGGGCTTTCGAAATGTCTGGAGAATCACAGAGTCACAGAATGGGTAAGGTTGGAAGAGGAACCAGAATGGGTCGTCTGGTCCAGCCTTCCTTCTCAAGCAGTGTCATCCTAGAGCACATGGCAGAGGATTGCATCCGGATAGTTCTTGAATATCTCCAGTGAGGGAGACTCCCAGCCTCTCTGGGCAGACTGTTCCAGTGCTCTGTCACCTGCACATAAAGAAGCTCTTCCTCATATTCAGGTGGAACTTCCTGTGCATCAGTTTCTACCTGTTGCCTCTTGTCCTATTGCTTGGCACCACTGAGAAGAGCCTGGCTCCATCCTCTTGGCTCCCCCTCTTTAGTCAGTCATCTCTCCTGTGGCTCAACAGGCCCAGCTCCCTCAGCCTTTTCTCGTAAGAGAGATGCTCTGGTCCCCAAATCATCTTTGTAGCCCTCCACTGGACTCACACCAGGAGCTCCATGTCTCTCTTGTACTGAGGAGACCAGAACTGGACACAGCACTCCAGATGTGGCCTCACTGGGGCTGAGTAGAGGGGCAGGATCATCTCCCTAAAACTGAATAATTAATTCTGTAGTGTTATCTTTTGTAAAGATTAATGTCTTTCCCTGTGTCTTTGCAATGGGAAAGCATGTTCAGTACATCTTCTGTAAACGGATTTAACTTATCCTGCATACAGGGTATTTAAGTAAGCTCAAACCCAAAATTTAGCTCTTAAGTAAGATTATTCAGAGAGATCATAACTTACAGATGGAACAATATGTGTGAGTGAGTAGAAAGAAACTATTTACAAGTGTATGGTAATAATTCTCTATTTCATAAATACAGTTTAACTAAGAGCTGGAAAATAATATGCTTCAGTCTGTCATAAAATATATGACATTAACAATTCCTGACTCCAAGTTTTCTTTTGGATTGAAGCTCATATGTAGGTAATTATAGATTGTATCAAACTTTCAGAACAAAATTCCAACATAGCATACCTGGAGATAATTAATTTTAAATTGTTTTTTATAGCTTTACGTGAAATAACTGCATTACAGTTTATTATATAATCTTTTTGTCTTGAACATATTTTTGTTATTTTATAAACTCTTCTTGATTTTTTTCTTTGTAGGGAAAAAAAAGAGGGAGCAAAATTTCAAGGATTAAAAAAACCTCCCAAACGCAAAAATAACAAACACTAAACTGAGTATGTGAATGAGATCTGAAGTGTTTCAATGTAACTAATTAATTGAAAATATTAATTCTTGGTTTGGATTTGCTAAGGAGGCTAAATTATTATTTGCTATTTGATGAAATCTACAGAAATTCACTAAAGCTTTGGAAGCTCAAAGTTCAAACTGGAAATGGCTTGCCTTACTAAGGAAATTGTATTTCTGGTATTTAATTGATATAAGACAGTGTATTAAAATAAATAAAAAAGAATTCAAAGGAAGTAGCAGAAAGAATCACATATTTACTATCTTTTGTACTCTTAATTATAAAGCAGTAATTGGAGAGTGAAGAAATAAGTGATAAAGAAAAATGATTTAGAATTAATCCTGTTTTGTCTCAGAAAAATTTGAGCTATGGAATTATTTATAAACTTTTAAAAAGCCTTTGCTGCAGATGCTCTCTGTAAGGTCTGGGACTAAATTCCGTTAAGTTCATCTGAAATATATACACAAGTACAACACAGAACTATTGCTTCTTTCATTGGAGAGTGCACTGCTGTGCTTTCATTGTCCTTTTTGATGCAAATGGTACAAGTGATTTGTAGTTTGAGGTCCACTGTTTGGCTACCTTTAAGAATGATAATTTCATTTCAAAGTATGAGGAAGTTAATGTGCTTCAGTTTTGATAGGCAGATCCATGCAAATGCAGTAGACTGCAAATACTATGTTATTTTTTCATTGAATAAGAAAAAATTCAGAAACTTGTTTTTAGTCTTCTGAATCATTTCTTAGTCCTTATCTTGGAGCATCTCGCAGACCTCTATTTCCAAGATAGTGTTGTGGCATATCAGTTACTGTTATTGGAAACAATGGAATAATTCTTAATATTTTATGAGAGCAGAGGAAGCTCTCTAAATACTTTGCTATCTCCTTCTGAAAGTCCACACTGGGAATAGTAAGACCAAGACCAGAACTTTATTCAAGAAGAAATACAAATCTCATCTCTTTTCTGTTGCTTTTTGGAACAGCTGTTTTGATATGTATGGTAATGACCTTTTGTCACTTAAAAAAATAAACCCCAAGAACAAAAAAGTCTAAAATAAACTTTTTAAAGGACTATGGAATGGACACTTCTACTGAACTTTTGTAGTTTTTTTAGAGATTTTTGAGAACTGTAGAAATAAGAACTGTATATTCTTTTTTCTGTATCAAGACAAAAGGGGGGTTTGTGAATAAGATGTTATCATTTGTGATGTTTTCAAAGTGTTTCAGTGTGAAAATAGCTATAACTATTTAGATCAGTGATCTGGTTGGCTACCTGCCTTGTTTTTTGTAACAAAACTTTCTGAGTTCATGAAGGTTTATGTCTTTGGATGGCTTTAAAAAAAAATCCCAAACCTGATGTAACATAATGATTTCTGTTGCTTATATGAGAATGATATTGGTTTACTATTCTGCTCAATTTGCTTGGTCCTGGAAGCTGTTAAAGCATATCAAAACATTCTTTGCATTAATCACTGTGTTTGAAAAGTGTAGCACAAGACAGCTTGGTTCATAGAAGTGAAATGAACAACAAAATAGCATCTGTAATCCTACATAATCCAGTTAAAGTTTAGGAAAGAAGTTCCTTTGAAACTACTTACATTTGGTATTTCAGTTTTCTTATACTAAGTGAAGATAACCCCTAACTCACTGAAGTCTGGAGACAAAGTTTAAAGTGTTGAACAGGATAAATGCTGAATGAATAATCTAAGTGCATTATACATACTGTATTTTGTAGGCTCTCCGTTGTACACAGCTCCAGAAGCAATAAAGGGAAATGACTTCAGCAAAGCCAGTGATCTGTGGTCCTTGGGATGTTTGCTTTATGAAATGTTCTCAGGTTGTAAGTTTGTGTATCTGCTTATTATCTGTTATAATAGAAACATAGGTCATGATCCCAGAGTAAATTCTTGTTAACTTTCTAGGGAAGTTAAGACACAGAAAAACTTCAGACAGGTTTTAAAGATTTCTTGAAGAATATACTAACTGTGCTTAAGACAAAAAAAGTATCTTTATCAAATAATCAAGTAGAGTAGTACTGTTAAGTTGTCCTGTTGACTGTGATCTAAATACAACAAGACTAACCAACATGTATGGTTTAAATACTATGATTTAAAATTATAGCAGCCCTCGAATTCTGACAGTGTAATGTTTTTAATCTCCTCAGTGTTGAACTCTGAGTGCATTATTTCAAGCTTTGAAAGAGAAAACTGATTCACTATTATAAAACTAGAGTAATTTGGTTTTCTGCAGATAAAGTGTCCAGTTGGTGCAGCTGAAAGGAAAGCGTCATCACAAAAGAGAATTACGCTGCAACCTTCTTAAATCTTAAACAATATGCTGATCTGTTGGATCAACACAGTAACACAGATATTGAGATTTCTGCCTAGACCTCTTCCTATTATATCATTGCTGATTCATGCAGGGCTATCATGGTGATCTCCATCAAGCCATCTTTGGTGCCTCTTCCATCCGTGGTTTCTTGTGCTGTTCATGATACAAGAATTTAATCCAAGGTTTTGAATATAAATTAAGAGAACTTGATAAATAGCACTCAGGCTGAAGGTGTTTATTTCTTTGGATGTTTTCTTAGGAAAACTCGTGATATGTCATGAGCTCATGCTATATCATTGCCATCACCTGACAACCATTTTGAAGTTCTCCTAATCTGTGAAATACACTTCTGTTTGTTTGTAGGAAAACCACCATTCTTCTCAGAAAGCTTTTCTGAATTAATTGAAAAGATTTTATGTGAAGATCCATTGCCACCTAGACCAGAGGGTGAGGTTCTGTTATTTTGTAATGAATCAAATCAGAGTAATAATTACAAAGCTAGGTTTTTTGCACTATTTCTTCTGAGGCTGATTGCAGTAATCAGTTAGTTGTCTGAAGTGAATGTTAGCAATGCCTTCCTTTCATAAGAACTTTTTCCCTGTTAATGATGAATTCTTGTTTCCCCTTTGATAGACAGACATATAATTTACTTTTAATTGTTAACACTAAATATACCTAGTGGTATGGAATTTTTGATCTTGGTCGTTCTGGGCATCAGTGTTATTCACGGAGACCCTTAAATATTAGTGGCTCTTTTCAGTCATAGTAAGGTACTTGAAAATGGTAACCTGCAGAATTAAAACTGTTGTTATTTCTTTCAATTCTAGGAGAGATTTTTTTTTTCAGAGTGGGTGAAGTGCCTTTCGCAGTTCTGCACTCTCAGAGTCTTTTCTCAGTAAAATAAGAATTTTGGAAATTCTTTTGTATAGTGGGGTTCAACAATCGTCCTCTGAAAATTATTGCTGGAGGAAACTTAATTTCAGTTTAAGCAGATTTTAACTCCACTTTATTTCTTTCTAATGGCTATATGACAATTGGAGGGTGCTTTTTTTTTACGTTACAATTTTAACTAGTTTGACGACTGAAAATTGGTGGGTTTATTTGTTTTGGGTTTGGTTTGGTTTGGTTTTTTTGAGGATCCTTTGAAATACAAAGCGTGTATAGTTAAGATTCTTTATACATTTAGTTTTTTTCAGATGAGATTGCTATTAAGAACATTTTTAGCATGATCTGTAGATAATTGTTTGGTCTACATTGGGCGACAGTTCTGCTGCCCGTTGCTGATCTTCACAAGTGCTTCTGTTTACAGGTTCTGCTTTTCACAAACCTTCTGCTGAGTTCATCAGTTTGCTTGATGGGTTGCTTCAAAAGGATCCTCAGAAAAGGTAAGATTCTAATCCATGGCAGTTGTTTATGTAGTCACCTCTGGAGAAGATAATTACTATGATACTATATGTATAGTATTTTGTAGATGACAAAGAATGCAAAAAAAAAATGTAATCCCTCATATAGAAGAACGAACTGTGCTTTTTGTTATATGAATATATACAAAATTAATGTTTTCATTAAGTGTGTCTTTATATTTTTATAGCTGGTGCTAAATAGATAAGTGTAGCAGAATGATAGGCAATTTAGAATTGGATGGCTTTGCTTTTCCAGAGCAGTGGGCACAATTATTTTATCAGACTTTGATTTATAGGTGATACAGTTACATTGTTAAATAATTTGATGTAATTTATGGAGTAGCTCAGATAATTTACATGCAGCATTGACTATGCAGTTTCCTTCATTTTTATCCTCATACCTCTGTTGTGTGAATTATCTATTCTGACTCGAGGTAAAAAGTTCGTCCTGAAAGAAAACTTATTTGTTGTCCAAATAAAAGCAAACAACAGGATTAATTGCTCTGTAGTGTCACTGGGTTAAAAACCTAGTCTGGTATGTTTCTGTGGAGCTGTTGTACTTTGCCACTGCTTTTTCAGTTTGTTTGTTGCTTTCCAAAAGGCTGAATTGGACAGACCTATTGCAGCATCCGTTCTGGAAAGGATCCCTTCGCCATTGTGGTACTGATTCTGCAGACAATCAAGGCACAAGCTCAAGGTACCAAATCTTTCAGAAAGACTTCTTTTGTAATAAATATAAGCAAAGATAAAAAAAAATATTTTATTATGTTTGTCTGTAAATTTTATCATTTTTGAAATTTTACTTAGAATTTTCATGTATTATTGACCGGGGTTTTACACTGTTCAGTGGGCAGTTTGGGATGTTTAGGAATTGTATTGCCCTATTAGTGTATTACACTGTCCATTCACTTCAACAGACTCTTTCCTTCTGGCTACAGAATATGTTAAAATACGCTTCTGAACTAACTGCTGTCAATTTTATTTATTTGTTTATATATGACATAACTTTGTTGCATGAATTTGACTTGCAATTTTTGTTTTGAAAGCTTTTGTAGAATGGGTCAGTTTTATTTCTAGTGAGTTTTTCATTTGTTTATTTTTGTGCATTAGGCTTAGAGCATCACAAAGCCTATCAGTACAGCATCTTAGAGCTGTGGTTGAGCTTTATAATCTTGCAAATGCAGCTGACCCATATTCTTTGCTTATGACATAAAGCATTAATCTAATAGTTGGGATTTTTTTCTAAATTTGTAATACTCTACACTGCTATATATATGCAAAAATACATAAACCTTTTGTGCAAATGGTTTCTATGTATTAAAAAATTAGGCTTCTTCAGAACTCCTGTTACCTTGCTGTTTTTTTTTTTTAATTTTGAATTAGGATATTTAGCGTTGACTTTTAAGTTACGTTGTTCTAAATATTTGAAAGATATGTTCTACTCTAGTGAACTGTTCGCGTTCTAGTCTAGTGAACTAATGTTAAAGTAGTTTTCTTTTAGAATGTTGAATGTTTTTGTGTTATCTCTACTTTAAAATTTTCTCTCATGTTGTTTAATACCTGTTTCTGATACCAGTGCTGCAATGTTTTTGTAATTATCGTTTATTCTACTTTGAGATGCAGCTCTTTGTCTTTTAATTTTATTACTGCTTTCACCTGCAAGACATAGAAGAAATTAATATTTACAGTTTATACCACAAAGTAAGAATTTATTCATGGTTTTAGGAAGACCTCCATCTCAGTGCTCACTTTTGAAGAATTTTCAGAGAATCAGAAGAATCTTAATCTCCTATGAAATATTGGGCTATTTGACCTTACTCTTGAGGGTTTTCTAATGCCTCTGACGTATCTGCTGATAAATGCACTAATTGACAACTATGACAAATGCAGGACATTGGCCTGACATGCTAAAGAAGCTCAATACTTTTTCTTTTCCAACTGTGAGGCCCATGTATCTATTTTCTTCACAACGTGGATTTGATTAATATTTGATATCCTGGAGAGCCTTCAGGAAATTTGTATAACCCAGTTCCATTTGAATAATAGGGGGGCATGCTAAAAAAACCCGAACAACCACAACCAATAAACTTGCAATTAAGTGTGACATGTAAATCATTACACAACAAAAACAAAACTAAAAAACCCCCAGATCTTAAAAATAACCAAACCAAATCAAAACAACCCACCAAAAAAGTAGCTTCAATCTAGGCTGCCGACTTCATTGTTAGAGGTAGGTTTGTTATGACGTTTTCCTGTGAAGACTGAATGATATGTAATGCTCTTAATATTTCTTTACAAGTCTTTTATTATGGGGTAATAATTTAACTTTTCTACTGTCTTCCATGTAAGTTCTAATGTGAGAGAAAGAATTTTTAATATTCTCCTGCTCATTTGCTGTAAACTTGTTTCTCATCATTGCCATTACTAACATAAAAAGTGTATGTAACACATATTAAAATAGCATGTTTTAGAGAATGACAGCTAAATTTTATTCTAACAATTGCAAAAAAATAATCCATATGATCCCTCTTTTTTTTAAGTCTGTAATTACTATCCTCTGTTAAGCAGCAATGAGGACACAGAGTCATCAGTGTCTTGGAGTACGAAAGAGTCTGTGGATAGTCATAAAAATCTAGATAACCTGTCATCTTCAAGAGCAGATCTTAAACTACCAAGCAGTTCTTTCAAAATAGGTAATATTCTTATGTTATTTTTTCACTTATTTTTATCAATCCCACCAACATCTGTGTGTTTGATTTGATTTTAACCTCTGAATGCAAGTTCATCTTCTCTTTTCAGTAGAAACTCAGACCGAATTGCGCCCCAAAAGTGCAGTTGATGGTGAATCAAATGAATCCATATTTCTTCTGAGGTATGAAAACCTAAAGAACAGTTATAAAAACCCTTGAAATCCTGTATTTGTGGTGCTGTTTTTTTTCCCACTGTCTCTTCAGACATTTTATTATTCTGTCTGTAACATTGTGCATGTCTCCTTTTGAATTTTCTATTACCACTTTAATTAATATTAAAATATGAGAATAGCTGCAAAAGCAGTGTGTGTAGTTAAAGCTTATCTGTCTTTATTACACTGTTTTTGGAAGTAAATTTTTTATTTCTTAGCTGTCAGTCTAAACAGAAGAATTTATTTCTTTCCTTTTTCATATATATGAGAATAGGCTTTGAGAATGATTGCTTTGAATACACAATAATAAGCATTCAACATAAGATCCACTAATAAATTCTACCTGCAGCTTTTCTTCCCAAGCTGTTGGTAACAATCTATTAACTACTGCATGGGTATTAAATAAAAAAAAATAGTGATTTGTATTAGTTGAGGCCTGATTCTGGAACTTTGTACTAGTTTTCAAGCCAAGAAGATTGTCTAATGAAATAGATACTTTTCTTATTGTCATGAAGAAGAAGTATTCCAGTTTGAAAATACTCTTTCAAGCTTCTTGCATAACCTGAAATAGGGCTTTTGTATACGATAGTGTGTACAAAAGTTATTTCAGTTGGTTTTATAAAGTGTTAATTCTCATCTCACTTATAAATTCTGTCATCACAGCTAAACACATACTATTAATAATTTCAAATAGCATTTGCTTTAGCAATCTGCTGAAAAGAAAGGCTACAATGACATTAAAAACAGTATAAGAGCATGTAATCCAATAGTGTTTTTTTAACAACATACTTTGTTTATGATAAGCACATTAGTTTAAATATAAAATTTGAAATGTAATGCAAACTTTTTTTAAAAAATCTGTTTGTAAACCGTCTTTGCTTCAATGATCTAACTTCTGAAAGCAGCATGTGTTATCTACTAAAGTATTAAAACGTTGAAGTGAAAGGAAGCTGCTGACCTGGCAACTTGGCACCAGAATTTACTTAGCTGCTGGAGGGGTTACTCAGCTTTTAACAGCAGTAGCTTCTTCTATGTATGCAAATGGATAGGTCTTATTAATTTCAGATAGTTCAATTTAACAATCTCTTGTCTTGTTTTAAACTGAGAAACCGTCTGAGAACTGGAAAAATAGGAAATATTTTCTGTATCTCAAACATATATGAAAGCAAATCAGTTGTATTAATTGAAAAAAAGTATATTAATCAAATCTACATATTTTGAAGGATGTGGTAACCTAGAATAATTATTTGGCCTCTTAGCTAGAAATCATAAGGTTTTTTTTGTTTAGGAACTAAGACTGCCTAAACTTCCAGCCACATCTTGATATACTTTTTTTACTGAAAGAATTAGGACATCTTATGTAGTTTTATGTAGGTGATATTTTGGCATTCCTTCGCTGTGCCCAAGTTTCTCTTGATAATAGATGGAAGATTAGAAACATTATGTTAGTCATTTGATCATTGATTTTCATGAGTATTTTTAATTTTGTTTGGTGTTTTTATTTTTAATTTAGTTACTTTTTCTAATAAATAAAGCTGATTTGTAGCTAAATGTGTCTATTGCTTTCTGCTAATGAAGAAAACACATTCATTTGAAGTTGATGGTTTAACTAGTTTCCTGGCCTGCCAATTTTAATAATTCTAAGGTTGATTTTAAATGCTTTGCATTAATATATCTCATAAAACCCAAGTTCACTAACAGCATTATGAAAATTGCAACTTTGCAGTATTCTGGTCTTTTCTTTCTTCATCTTCTAGTTTGCAAATAGGATTTTAAAAAGAAAAAGTTAAAGGTAAACCTAGTTCACAATTTTACATGAGATTTAGGCAGTCTTAGCCAAGAGTTAGCAGTCAGAAGAGAATAACATAAAATAAATTTCAATTTTTTCTCACATTAATTTTCTTTGTATCTTGTTTGTTATTAGGAATTCAGAATATAATGTTTGAGCATCCAGTTTTGAGAGTGATTATTGCTGAGAAAATAATCAAATTAGATCCATTTAACATCAACATCAACTACAAAATACCACCTTCCCATTTTTAACTGGTAAACAAATCCTAACCTTGTCAGAACACATTTAAAGACAGAAGATTCATGTCTAGTTGGTGGCTCAGGCATAGCCTCATTTATGTTTATCAGCTTTGAAAGTTTGCTGTATGGCATGAAAGTTTCAAAAGAGCAGCAAAAAAGCACTTTGCAATGAAACTTAATCTGTAGTCTTTATTGGTTTATTATTTTTTTTTCTTTCTTTTCTTTAAGTTCTCGTCCCACACCTAGAACTAGCACTGCAGTAGAAGTAAGTGATGCTACTGCTGCCCCAATCAAAAATTTTTCACAAAGAGATTCATGCTTGAAGAAGGTGAGTATAAAATTTATATTAAGGGATGATGGTATCTCTATAGTTAGAATTTTAGCCTGGAGTCTGTGGCAAAGTCAAGTTTCTTCTCCATCCGTAATTAGCAGGGAATCAGTTCCTACAGTGTGCAAGTAATTTGAAAAATATATTTGCAGAAGTCCAGATGTATGAGCTAAGAAAGATGTTTAGTCTCCTTTTTTGCCCCAGTGCATAAAAGGGAAAATGTTATCTTCTTTCTTGTCAGTCTGCAGTTTGGACCCATTGCTTTTTCTTCCAATATATTTCTCTTATGATTTTTAATTGGTCCTATCTACTATTACATAAATGAAAGGTAAGTTAGAATATGTTGTTTACATGGTGAAACTGCATAATATAATTTTGAAACAAAACATTTTGGGAATAAACATGAAGAAACTTTTTTTTGGTGCAAAAAAGTTTAAAACAAAAAATCTTTGTTCTTGTTCTAGGCTGAAAATATGTGCTCAAGTCAGCAGGATATGGAGTCAGCATTGAGAGAGCTCATTTACACTGAATCTGATCTTATCATAACGCCAATCATTGACAATCCAAAGGTATAGCAAAATAAAATATAAGATTCAGGAACTTGTGGCTGGGGCTATTTTTGCAGATAAATTTTTAATCAGGGTGAAACTCTTTTCCTGTATTTTACAGTTCTCATTTTAAAGCAGTTACACCCAGTCATCTGGCAAGCTCTCATGCAATTTTTTTGGCAGTCTGTATAATTCTATTGTGTTGCTAATTTGGAGGAATGAGTTATTTTGGGATTGAATAATAATATTAAATAATGTCTTACAAGAAATAGAAGCTACTAAATACTGCGTTCAGTGCTTTTGTAGATTTGTTTTCTGATAACTTCCTTTGATACCTGTTATTTAAATGAGCACAAAACTGTGGTTTGGTATACTGAAAACAAGGCCATATATGAAGCCTTCTAGATTATAAGTTAGACCTTTACAGAAAAACTTTTGTTATTCTTTAAACTTCAGATGTGATAATGTTTTTGAACTCATTTTCTCTCCAAAAGAACACCTGTCGTTATAAGAAATGTCCATCCTATTTCTGTCATATGTATTCTAATGTGATAACAGTTTGTAATGAGTCTCTTGAGCAGGGACTGACACTTGCTTGACAGCAAAGAGCGAACCAAAAAAGAATCAGAGCTCTGCACTGCAGTGACAGTGTAACGTGCATTTATGGGCATTACTGGTAGAAGGAATAATAGGCAAGAGCCCCTTTAGTCTTCCTTTTGTTTCTGTGCTTAAAAAAAAGCAGCTGTTTTAGCAACTTTACTCAGTAAGTGACGGATGCAGAGAATGCAACATTTTTGATTGGAAATGAGCATCTAATCTCATTAAGAATGTCTTACGGCTTTTAGTTGCTGTGTTGCTTTAGTATTAACAATTCTTTTGGTTTGTTTTAATGGATTTCCTAACACTTTCAAAAATTAGAGGTCTTATACAGCTAGATAGTGTAACTACCAAATAATAATGTTTTAATATGTTTGGAGGGAGGGACATTGTTACCAGTGGAGAATTTCAAAGTGTTCGAATGCTACCACTGTTAAATTGTCAGTTCTATCTCAGGACAATGACACAAAGCCTTAGTCCTTCCCAGCTTCTCTTCTTATTACAAGTATAAGAGAGGAGATTAGGGGTAAGTGTACATACTGATGTGCACATGGAGACTAATCTCCTTACCATGCAATGGCAGACTCAGAATTAATGCAAAATAGCCCACTAAGTTCCAGGGACATGTAATCAGAGTCATTGCCTGCTTGGCAATGACTCTTTAGTCTGCACTTCAGACTGAAGGATGATACTGACACCTGGTAAAGCTGAAGAGCTTGCAATTTAATCTTGGGCAAAAGGATTTACTAGATGCTGACAGAATCTGAAAAGTTGAAATGTCAGCTTACATTGTAAAATTTCCCTGTATTCTGCAGATCTGTGGAGCTGAAGACCTTTTTTCGAAAATAGCTCTCTTGTTACACTTAGACTTCATCTGTCAAAGGCTAAATTCCACTACACAGTTACCTTTTCTTTATGCTTTATTTACTGAAAATCACACTCAAATCCTCAGTCACTGAGCAGTCATCCATTTTCATGATGTGCCAGAAAATGATGTTTCACGAGGGGGAAAAAAATCCCCATACCTTATGAACAATTACTTGTTGATAATAAGACTTTTTATATTCTATAATGATCTAGTGTATATATATATTTGCTGTATGGAAATGAATTGTTAAAACACTTATGAGCTGTCACCTGCATAGTTCCTTTTTGTAGCTTTTGAAACCCAAATGCAAGTGTTTTTCTATATACAAGCAAGATAAAAATGTAAACTGAAAAAATCCTATAATTTTGTAATCCTATTTTAAAAATCACTTAAATGGAAACACTAGCAATATAATTATGTTAAAAACATAGAGTTAAATCTCCAATATTTGCTTGGAAGGAATAAATACCAGAAAACAATGGAAAATTCCTCAGTAAAGAGAAGTAGTATGTACACCCCACCTGTACAAATTTCGCATCTTTGTATTCTCACATTTAACTACTTAGAGATTTTCCAGAAATGTATTAAAACTAGTTGTAATGTGTTTGTTTATTTTTCCAGATAATAAAGCAAGTGTCAGTTAGATTTGACTCAAAAACTTTACATGTACCAGCACATTCAGGTATGGATCTGCTGAAGCTGTTAACAAGTTCTGCATGTGTTGCTGTAACTCGCTATCACAAGACCTGTAGCCTCCTGCTGTAGATTATAAACCGTCACAGTTTCAGAACTCATAATTTTTCTGAAACTGTTTCTGTAATGTTTTTAGCTAGACCAATTTTGAGTAGCCTTTTCATGAGTTACATGACATTCTTTTCTACCTTCTTCAGTTACAAGCTTGTGCTCAAAAACTTTTACAATGAGACAGTCATCATTGTTTTAGTGTGGGCAAAACAGTGGATTTTTTTCAACTGAGATATTTTAACTGAAATATTCAACTAAATATATTAAAATGTTAAAAAGGAAGGGAAGCAAATGGAAAGAGGATCTTAAAATGTACAGTGTTGATCAGCTGTAATACTCGGCAGCTTTGCCAATCCCACCTTGAATCATAAATTGTTATGGCGATCATGTCCCAAAAGATAGTGTGGAGTTGTTTTGGGTTTGCTTTTTTGTTATCATTAGTTTGTAATGTCTAGAAAGAGTGCTGTTATTTCTGAAAACTAAAGTCTGCTCATTGTCACGAGTGTAATCATTTCTTCCCCTGGAAAATTTACTCTAGTCTTTTTAAGGAAGAGTAGCTTGAAGAGGGATACCAACCACGTATGAAGTCCTTCTGGAATTCACATAGCACCTCTTCCTAGGCATAAGAGTTAATTTTTTCTTTCTATAAAATATGTATCTTGGAGAGTTAATTGGCTGAAGAAATTTTGTAGTTGGGAAGGAATTTAATGTCCCCCAGTCTCTCAATCAAGACTATAGTAACAGAAAATATTTTTAATTTGGTTCATCAAAAAATGATCCAATACAAGTGCCTAAGGGAAGTATTATATTTCATATTGCATTTAAGTAGTTTATCACACTGATGTTCTGATATGTTTAACTATTGTTATCAGTATTATTTAATATGAGACAGTGTTTTTTTGTTGTTGTAATGCTTTCGGAGTTGTAGCTTTTTTCTGGCCAACTTTCTGATTGTTTTTGAAGATACTGAATTTGATGCTGCTCATCAGTAATGATTAAAGATAGTATGGAAAAATTAAGATAAATACCTGCAATCCACACCTCTTTTCACCTTTGCTAATGTATATTATAATCGCCTGCATTAGTAGGTATTTTTACTTAAGTGTAAAATTAACATGAAATACAGAAAACGTGCTTTTAAATATTCTATAGTGGAGATATCAGGATGGCAGATAAGTTATTAATAAATAACTAACCAAAACTGAGGGAATGTATGGCTGCTAGATTGAAATTAACTGTTGAGACTGATAAGGAAGTTTGTGAAAAATCTCAATTCATGTACACTGGTCAGTGAATTGAACCACGGGATTTATGTTAATTGTCCTAGTGGCTTGATTTCTTTGTGTTCCTTCTGAAGTCATCTGTGTTTTGATACTACTGAAGTTTAACTCAGTGGGTGCTTACCTATATGAGTAACAATACACATTTTCAGTTTATTGATTCTGAGTAGATTTCACTGACTTTCGTTAGGTTTTGCCTCAAGTTTACTCTAATGAAAGTGCACTTTTTTATTAAGAATTAGTAATGATAAAGGACAACCTTTCCTAAATATAATGTTTCCTTAAATGAAGTCCAGGGACTTAGCAGGGTTGCACTTTCAAAAATGCTTTGAAGCTTTCATTGCTCTGTTTTTATCATTTGTTTCTCTTCTTGCTTCCTTTTTATTTCTATAATCTTCAGACATGAATTATAACATGCTTTTTTATATTTTAAGTACTAAAATTATAATTAGATTCAAACTTTGGAACTTACTTATTCATGATGATGTTACTTTCTAGAGTGTTAAAGCAACATCAAAGATCCATTATCTTTAACTACTTGTTTGCTTCTTAGCTGAGAAGTTATCATCTATGAAAGATGTGGACTGGAATAACTTCTTGAAAAGAGTATGCTCACTGCTGGATTCCACCGAGAAGAACACAGGAGCAGCACGTTCTAAACTGAACTTACTGTACTATCTGTGTACTCTGGCTGTCCACAAGGAGATTGCAAGCAGGCTAATGAGCTCTCAGCTGGTAAATAATAAAGCTTTGAAAGAATCAACATGGTTTACATACTTGCTGTTGTAGCAAAAATCAGCTACTTTTAGTTATGTTTGAAGAAATCATTGATGTACTGACAAAAAATTACTATGTTCCATGTCAGGTGTTTTAAAAATGCTGAGGGAAACTAATTCTTTACCCTACATTTCAGATACATTTACATATAGTTTTGTTGTATTAGTGAACGTGTTGGGGTAAAAACTAACCTTGATGGAGAGTGTGAAATAACATATGATGAAATATTAGTCTTTGTAAATCGTCGTAAATGACAGAGAATATTGAAAAAATTCATGTATGAATTGCTATATGTCTTTTATTTGGCCATATGTCTGTGAAGAATAGCAAGAAAAACTTTCTAAAGAACATGCAGTAAAACTTTCAGTAAGCAGTGCTTACAGTGAGCAGGGTCTCTGAAGAGTCTCTTTTAGGGTATACCTAAATATTCGTTTCGCCTTTCAAGAACCACTTTTTACCAAACAATTTTACTGATATCCTCTGTAGTGGTTTAATATATTTCTCAAAATTCTTGCATGTGCTGGAGAGAAATAGATTTTTTTTTTTTGTCATTATGTAAAGGCATCACAGAGGCTGTCCTGAGATGAGCACTTTTCATTTTATTTAATTAAAAGTAAACTGCTTCGCTCTCCTACAGTTATACTAATGCACTTAAGTCATAAGCTCATGTGTCATTGTTGGATATAGAGATATTAAAGACAAAATTGCACTGCCAGAAAAATTCAATGAAAAGCATTTAGGTTGGAAGAAGTGGTAGGTCTTGTACCATAGCATTCTAGTGAAAGCAGGAAAAAGAATTGCTGGAAGGTGTATTCCATTATCATTGGAGAATTTGGTGGGGGGAAACATTAATCCAGTAACTGAATTGCCAATTAACAGAACATTTTAGAAATGAATTAGTAATTATGAGTTTGGTTCTTTTGGGGCTGATTATACATGTTAACATTCATTATTCTAGTATTTGCCAACTGTTTTTATCCAGTTTCACAAAATTAATTTATTAAATATTTGTTTTGTAATACTATATGATGATCTCTGTCTTTGTAGGTGAAAGTATCAGACTTTTTTCTGCTGCATAGTGTTATTCAGAATGAAAAACTGTTGTTTTTTTATTTTAATGCTGATATACGTTTAGCAGTTTAGTTTAAGGCAAAAAAATAGAAAGAATTGTATTTTCCTTTCTTTTTTATCTTTATCTCTTTTTCATTTTTTATCTTTATCTCCTTAATCAGTGTTGATCTACCATGTTTGTCTGTGACAATACTTTTCACAAATGTTATCCAAATACATTTTTGTGAAATTAGGGATATTTTGATTTTTTGTTATCATTTGGAGCTATCAAATCACTGAAATTCACTAATGTTTATTTGTCTGCTTTAATATAGTTTCCTATATTGATGCAGCAGCTGCGTGCAGCCAGCAGCTGGGATATGTAAGTAACAATTATTTTAAATTAATATGTTCAAATTCAAAATTGTCACTGAATTTTATTAAAGATATTCATTAACAGGTTATTTGAGGAGTGTTTTAGCATGTCAGACTGCTGTGGTATCTGACTGGCAGTATGATGGTGAATATAAGATGGAATTTTTTCAGCATTGAATTAATATATTGCTATTCTACAGCACCAAAGATTATAGAAAATCTCTAAAATTTAATCTAGAAGTTATATAATATAGTGTAACAAATAGTGTTACTTAAAATCACTGAATAAGCCAACTCCATACCATAAAGGAGTAAAATAACTGTAATGGTAGCTTTATTTTAAACACCTGTCAGAAATATTTCAATGTGATAGTGCCCTCTGCTGTTTATTTCATAAATGTTTTGTTATTCCAATTTTTTTCTTTAATGAAACATTTAAAACTAATTTGCTGATACAGATGTGATTTCTATTTTGTCAGCTGAGAAGTCTGAAATTATCTATAGGTGTTTTCTATGTTATATGAAAACTGTACGTGAGCCTGACAGATTAGTAAGACTAACAAACTAAAGAATCTTCACTCTTCCATGCTAAAGAAGAGAAATGTCTTTATGCATGAATTTATTGCTAAAATGAGCTGAAATACTGAATTAATTGTTGACACAAAAAATCCCATAAATAATAAGAAGGAAATCCGAGCTGTAAATAGGACATCAAATATTTCCTGCCCTTAGCAACCTGCGTAAAATATAAATGAGACATGATTGGTTTTGTTGTATTTTGTAAATAGTTTTTCTGCACCCACAAAATATTTATTTGATACGCAGACGTGCTAAAGTTGCTCGAGTGATTGGTTTACTGGCATTACACACATCTGAACTTGGAGAAAATGTACCTGTTTCTGAGGTAACTTACCTTTTTTTTTATCAGGGAGTTTTGTTAATGCTTTTACTATTTATGTCAGAAACTTTCACAGCTTTTTTTGTTTTGAACCCTGCTTTAGTTTTTCCTCAGATGTCTAAATTGGAATATAATTAATTAATTAAATGTGTAAATTTATGATTTCATTCTATATAGTTGTAGTTCTGATCTTAACTAACCTGTGGCTGAACTACCCACCAATAAAAAACTCTAACCTTTTTCTCTCCTTTTCATAAAATCAGTCAATGTCATGCTTCTTGTGTGTGTGTAGAAAGAAGAAAATGTTGCCATTGTTTGGTTATCCTGAAATTAATTATTATAATTAGTATAAAAATAGTGCAATTGATACTTAGGCATATTTTTTCCAAAAAATTAATTCAGGTGGGAGTAATTTGAGATTCCTCACAGTTCTTGAAGAGTATGTGTAATGAAGGGCAAGTAATTTTCTTTGGAGAAGAAAAGTATTTTTAATTCTTTTTTCATTTTGCATGGTCAATAGTTGACTTATGCAGAAGATTGATTAGACAAAATTGTCTTACTGTCCTTTTTTGGATGTGACACATGCACACAGATTGAGAAATCTTGACAGAATGTACTATTTATTATTTGTTTAAAGTGTGACTGTGACATTATTTCTGCTTCATAAGGTGAAGCCAGAACTTGAATGTAATGGGTGTTTGAATGTGAGACCCAACTGCTAAACACAAGCTGTAAATATGCCTCTGTGCTGTGCAGATCTGGCACGTAGGAACATACAGTTATTGGTTAATATCTGACTATTTTGGAAATGTGGCTATTTTGTTGCTTTAGGTCCCTCTGGTTTCTTCCTAATGAATATTAAGAATATGATTATTTTGCTATGTTGCTTAATGTTTCAATTCTGTAGTGAAAGCTGAACTCAAAACATTATAGTTCATACCTGTTTGTCTCATAAGGTAACAAAGTGGGGTAAGAGTCCTTATAGTTACAATCACTGAAGTTTGGTCAACATCTTTCAATACTGACAGTGGCACGTCAGTTGAATTCCAGGTCACAATTTAAGTGCACTCTTGTATGTGACCAATTTTTTTTTTTTTGATATTTAACTTTTAAAAGTTCCAGTGAAAATACTCAAAAGTAATTTTGAGATGTTCATATAGCTTTTGGCTTCAGGTATTTGTTAAGGTCCTTAGCACTAATATATTCATTAATAGTTTCTCCAACTTCCTAGTTTCCACCATAGAAAACACATTTCCTACTCAGCTGTTGTATTTAAAAGCAATAGATTGAAGTAGTTATACACTGAGCTGTAATATTATTTTGTTCAAAATGTTTTTGATGGGTTTTTTTATGTGAACATAAAAATTATTCACAAATGAAATTTAGCATTTTTATAAGTATTCATGTACTTCAAAAAACAAGTTAAATCTGGGACTAGTCCCATTCTTATGTGAATTAAAATTAGTTTTTATATACATTCATTAAGAAAATAAGGATTTATTTTTTAAATTAACAAATCTGAGTTCAAAATGCATGTACTATGCTTTATTTAATGGCGTTCATTCAGATTTTTTTCTCACAAAGTAATATCTCTGAATTAAAAAGATTTTAGAGTGCTTACACAAAATTAGAATGAGAAAAAAAATTGAATCCTGTATTTCATGTCTTCAAATAATCTAAAATCTAATATCTAAAAATCTAAAATCCAATAACTGTGGGCAGTACACAAAACTTAACAGTTCATTTATAGGAAAAGTAGGAAGGAGTCATTTATGAATTTCTTATCTGCCAAGTTGTGTTCCCCTCTGCTCCCTCCAAAGGAACCAGATGAACCTGTGAGTTTGTTGAACATTCTTGTTAAATGTCAGCTATTTTATGTTGTGTAATGCTTAAAAAAACCACCACAAAGCAAACCTTTAAACCAGCCTTATAAACTGTATTAATATAATACTGTAATTTATCCTCTTATTTGAGCCAGCTGACACTCCAGCTGAAGTTAATTGGTGGCTGCTGTGATTTAGGAAGTGTCGAAATCAAGCTGTAGCTAGTCAGAACAACATAATCTAAAATGACTCTGATTCAGGTCTTACAGTCTGAAGATACAGGAGTGATCTATCTATTGACAGGGGTTTTTTTGTGTTTTCTTTCCACTTCCATTCCTAGTAACTTCTAATACTCTTTGCTTTTTTCATCTGTTAAATAGAGGTGATCTGTTTTAGCTCCAAAATTTGTTCCCACTTGAGAAAAGTCAGTTGAGAGCTCGTGAAGATGCTATTCTGGAATTATTTTTGCCCCCTCCCTGTACCATGCTATTTATATCAAATTTTCATTCCAGTTTTTATCACTTAAGGATAGTTCCTCTATCTTTGAGGTTGAATTTGCACCATTAACTTTTTTAGTTGTCGTTAAAATGATTTTGTAAGTAGTAGTAACATTAAGCCCTGAAAGAGGCAGAAAAACTTCAGTAAGAAAAGAAGCCTCATCCTTATTTTAAAGGCTAAAGTGAACTTTCGTATACTGTATGCCAAAAGCCTTTAATTTGTTGGGTTTTGAAGGATTAGTGCTTTGGGGATTTTTTAAAGTTTTTATTCAGGTAATTGGGGAACAGCAGTTTCCTTTGAATGTAACCACCAGAGGTCACTAAAACACAAAAATAAATTCAAGTAAACTTATTTCACTGACTTGACAAGCATGTAAATGTATAACTGTGTAGTATCTTTATTCTGCTGATGTATTCTAATATGTAGGTCATATTAGAAAAAATTAGAATAAATGAATATTTATATCTGTGAATTCACTTGCAGTTGATCTATTTCCAGTTAAGAACTTTTAAGAAGCATATTGCATTGATAAGAAAAAATAAGACTGATCTTAGAATGCAATAGGGAAATTGATCTCTTCTAAAACTGCAGATGAAGACATTTTATGTGGAATTTCTTCTATCATGCAGTTGCAGTAAAAGTTTTTAATAGGTCACTTTTTTCTCACTTATTATTTTTTTTCTCATGGAATTGCCCTTTAGAAATCTGAAACATAATTTCCTCTTATTTATTCCTAGTTTTCTTATGAAAACATCTAAACTTTCAAGTTTTATCCTTGTATTTAGATTTTGAAACAGATTCTTAAGATTCTGTAAAAAACATTCTTTCTTTCCAGGATTCTGTTCTTCATTTTACAGGAAGAAAAATTATTCTGTAGTTAGGGAAGCTTGTTTCTGTGTACCTCTAATTTGGTTTATCTAATAAAAGAAGCTATAGTTCTTTCCTTTCTGTGAATATATCAAGCCTTCTGCCACCTAGGACACAGCCACTCTGATGTGACATTTCAGATGCAGTCTGAATTTTATTAAGAGATGATAGAGCAACTCAGCAGAATGCTTCCATGTCAGGGAGCAGTGTCTTTCTCTGTCTGGTAGGAGACTACCCTGGAGTCCTTCTCTGCCTGTCCTTTTGGTGGCAAAATCTAGTCCTTTTCTTTACCTCTTTTAAATTTGCTAATTGGGAATATCAGTCTCACACTCTGACCTAGGGAGTTGTGTCTGGTTTGTTTTTTTAATAGACTTGGGTCCACTGCTCTACCAAGTGCTTAAAGGGTTCAGAGAACCTGGTACAACCTTCACACTGCAAGTTTTTTTGCAAAGCCTTTGGTATTCCATGGACAAATTAATAAACTAAATATCCCATGGACAATGACAGCATATTAGGGTGTCTCAGTAATGTTGAACTTAGACTCCTTTGTCACAGTAGTGAATACCCAGATTTCTGTTTTCATATAAATTGATTTCATGTAATTTGAGCCTTTTTATTTCTGATTTTTTATTGAAGTACAATTTAGTGGTTGTTTTCCACAGCAGCAAAGCAGCTGTAATGTTACAGGTGCAGTTGTATGACATGCAAACTCATATATGTACTCTCGCTAATCTGACTCTGTCTGCACTGTTCTAGGTCTAGAGTTTGTTGTCATTCAAATTCATCCAGAATACCAATCTTAAGTCATGTTCCTATGTTACTTCTCTGATAACTTCTGTTTCTAGGTCTGTCCATGTCTGCCCATATTGTAAAGAGTTGCAAATAAAAATGGTTTGATTTGGCCATTTATTCCAAACCTATTTAGTTTTAATATTGTGTTATTGTAAAATAAATTCCTTAGTCTGCTCACACATGATCATAATTTTAGTGTATCCTTGTTTGTTTTCTCCAAGGGCACTTTCCTTGTTTTGCTCTAATATCTCTTACGTGAAAAAAACCTAACCCAAAACAAAGCAAAAACCACCCCAATTTAAAAAAGTCTGTAGGCAGGAGACGAAAGCTGTAGCGGAGTATGTGCACAAGTACTAACACATGTGCACATACACGTGCCTACTGTTTTGTAAATTGATTAGAACTTTACAATTACCTTTCTGGCATAATTGGGATTGTCACTTAATACCTTGGTAACAGCAAGAGGAGATTCAAATTTTTGAGTGTCTTCTAGTAAACTTTCAACCTCTATAAAGTTTCTTCAATTTATTTTCAACAACCTGGTTCACTGAATGTAACTTACATATTTGCCTGGGGCACGTGGCAAGAAGACAAATGAAGAATTGACATTTCTCAGGTAAATTAGCAGAAACTCATGGTGTGTTTGAGAAAAGTGCTTTTGAGTTCATAAACAGAAAATGGAAATAAATTGACAACTGTGAATCTGTCAAGCATGACAATTCTGAATTGTTGGAGAAAATATTAAGGCCTTTTATCATAATTGAAGATTTTTTTTTCCTCATTCAAAAAATTATTTTTATCAATCCAATTAATTGGGCTTGCTTTATGTTTGAAGTCCAAAACAGGGTAGTAATAGAAAACAAGGAAGTTCTCAACTAGGAAAGAGAAAACATTGCCGATTGCAGGATTAAATCACTTTTTGCAATTTTCTTAAGTTAGTTGCCTGGCTGAAGCAAAATCTGTACCCTTTTAAAAGACATTTAATTGACACTGTTTTCATAGTCCATTAAATTTAGTCTGTTTTCT